TTTATTACCGATAAACACACATAAATAACATTTTTAATATTTTCATTAGATTTATTCATTAGGACCTTTTTTATATAAATGTACTAGGAAGAAGAAAAATATTCAAAGTTACGACAAGGAATGGTTACATAATCCTTTGATGTACAATGTGCCATTACATGAAAACTTTGGTTACAATAACTACTTCGTAGGTTACCGGTAACTCAGCAAATAACGTTATAGAGTAATATTTAACAACAGTTTTATAAATTATAATGATGATTAAATTGATCAGTGTGTGAATTTGTAAAGTTGTTACTATTAGAAATAGGTAGAAAAAATTCCTAGACAAATTCATTACATTCTGAATTAGGTGGATTTTCCATTAGTGTGTAAAGTACTAAAGGATATGAAAATTAACAATAGAAAATAAAAAGAATATTAAATTAACTCAATTATTAGGAATTATTTTTCCTTTAGAAAAAGCTATTTAATTAAAGTCACCAAAAGTAGTCAAATGGAAAACTTGGGATAATTTTCTTGTACTTTTTTCTTTTTTTTTTTGTATTGTATTATAACATAAATATGCATTAAAAACAAACCAGTCTAAACATAATTACTTTCATGTAACTTTTACGCTAATCTAAAATTGAGGAATATTATATGGAACTTTTTTTTTTTTTTTTAAACAATGTAAATAAAGTGTTTCAATTTTCAAAAAAATATAAAAGAAAAAATGGATTAATTTGATTTTTAGTACAATATCTTCAACATCCTAAAATTATTTTACTAATACAAATGTTAAATTATTGCATAATTGAATGCATTAAAATAAAAATCGTGTATGATTAAATTAAAAATATTACATTCCCATTATTCTATAATTTATAAAAAGCTTATTGTATTTTTTTTGTTATCCTTATGAATTTTACATTATTATATATATATATATATAATTATATAAATATGTTTTACAATCTATATTTATACATAACAGTTAACAATACCGTTGCAAGTTATCCTTTTTTTTTTCGGTGTAATATGCAACATATTTACAATTTTTTTTTTAAGAAAACTCATAGTATAATTCATAATTATTATATCAAAGATGTTTGTATTTTATTTAATCTACAAAAAAAAAAAAAAAAAAGAAGCAATTTCCATAATAAGTAGAATGTTATTTTCTACTATTTTTCATCTTGTTTCTTCATTTAATTAAAAGATATTTAATAGAACAGTTATTTATACTCCATTAAATGATGAATTGATACAATCAGAACTTTTATAACACTAATATAATTAAACATTATTGGAGTTATCCAAGATTTACATAGTATATCGAGTGGAACAGTTTACTGAATTATATCAAGTTTACGACATATATTCTTATTCTTTAGAAAAGCCGATATACATGTATATTCGTTTTAATAAGTTATAGATTAAATATATAAATCATTAATAATAATAACGTAATGAGTCAACGCGTTGTCTTTTGGTATTTTAAATATAAATAAGAATTTCATTACATAGTAATATAACGATAGAACTAAAAAAGAATACAATGGAAAGAAGTTTTAAGTTTCTACTTTTTATTCAAATTTATGCAATTTTATTTTTTACCTGGATATATTACTATAACAGTGATGATGTAAAATTATAATATTAAAAATATCTTGTTGAATTTTTTTTTTTTTTTTTTCTGTATAT